TTAATAAAGTGGCTATAAATTTACTTTTGAATATATCTGTATTTTATTTAAAAAATGGCAAACACGCAATCCAAAATAGACTTACTTGAAAAACAGATTTCCAAGCTTGTAGATGAGAATGACACAGGCGGGAAAACATCGAGATCAAGTCTGAGAACATCGAACTTAAAGCTGAGAACGTAAAATTAAAACAAACTTTGGAAGAGCATGAATCCAGATTTATAAAACTGGAGCAGAACGATAAAGATACCGCTTCGGAAAACACTGAACTTAAAGCCAGGGTTGCGAAATTGGAACAGAAACAGTTACAAACCGACAAAGAAAAGAGTAACCATATTATATTATGAAGTAATGACCATGCCAGCTTCGCTGATACTCCCGCATCTAAATCGGACGATGATACCACCTCTATTAAAACGGAAAATTCTAACAATGCTCCTGAGTAGACAAACTTACATTGTGAACAGTCAGAGACTCGCGGCTATGCCACTGGTACTCTTGCAACTAATATTTCTGATAAAACTTCAGATTCTGATGTACGTCAAGAGCTTTCATCCCAATATCCCGCATCACCTGTCCGCACAGAGAGTAAATCATTGGAAGACAAGGAAATGGACGAATTCATAGATTCAGTATATGAGGAACAGGTTAGTAAAGAGATAATTCAGAGAATTAGGGAGAAGAAACAAAAATTACTCTCAATTCCTGAGAATGATCCTACTAACATTTCACGTGAGCAAGGTTTAATACAAGAAATATCGTCATCTATCAAAGATCCAAATTGTGATAATTTCAAAATTTCAGCGAACATGTTCGCCAAAAATCATGTGACCAATAATTTAACTCAGATATGCAATGAAAAGGATAGTCTTATTTTGTTTTCCGTATCAAAAAGTAAAATCTTACTAAATTTATCAAGTTTATATCAAAAAGCTTGTGATGCAGAAAAGCAAGCAATTAAAGTTAATCAAGACGAAATTACATGTTGGTATTATTATATAATGGAATTCGACAGCCAGGTTAAAAATCTCATGAGATCTGATCATATTGGCGAGAAAAAGGCAAAAGGTCAAATTTACGATTTTATTATTACACAACTAAATCCCAAGCGCAAAACTTTACAAAAGCAGACCCAAAAAGCTAGAAAAGTTTATAATTTATTTGAAAAAATAGGCATAGACAAGATTCAGCATATCAAAACCTTTAGTGCAGATTCTATTTCAAGGTTTACTAATTTACAGATTCAAACTATTATTAATCATTTCGCTAAAAAGCCTGACATAGAATTCACCGATGAACAGAATAATTCTTCAGATGATTTATCCGAAACTGAGGTAAGTATACCTACTGAATCGATTCTTTTAGATTCACCCCAAGAAAACGATAAAGATTCAGAATTACTAGAAGTTGAAGTAAGTGCGTCATCTTCAGATATCAAGAAAACTTTACCGGAATTTGAGGTAAGTAATACATCTACTCTTTCTAATTTAGATACGGTTCCAGAGGAAGAGACAGAGTCTCGAGTTTCCAACTCATCAACCGAGATACAGGCAAGTGTGTTTTATGAGGACGTTAATGATAATGAGGATAATTATAAGAATTTCTCTGATGATGGGAGCTTCTGTGGTTTTTCTGATGACGATGATGAAGGTTATTATTACGATTTAAATACCGGTGAAACTTATACAAAATCGGATCGTCGTTGTTCAATCTATGCATATTAGATACAGAACATCCTGCTTCGCAGATAATAATTAGATGCGATAGCATCATCACGAAGTGATACAGTACAATAAAAAATAATTTATGTGTCAAAGACACTAGCTCCGCTATTAATCCGAAAATAATGTGTCTCTGACACTAGCTCCGCTATTAGCCAAAGGCTTGCTTACGCTAATATATTTTTTTTTTGATCTGATCATTAAATGTTAACCCATTTCGCGATATTACATATGATCGAGAATCTTTATCCAACCTCTTCATTTATCGATTCCACATTAGAAAATGTTTGACTATCTCCTACATCATACATACTAACATCACTGTCGTTTTGAGACAAGGGTATATTACCAGAGACAACTACTTCGCGGTTAGAAACAACTTGGCTCTGATTCATTTCTGAAGAATTATTTCGTGCTTCATCTGTGGCCTCATAAGGTGGTGGTGGTTGAAGAGATTATGTTTCGATAGAGCCAGAATGACCAATATTTTGTTCAGGATTTTCCACACCAGGATTGTTTGTATTAGTGTTTATTGCATCACGGGGTGGAGATGGAGATGCTGACCGTCTACGACTTCTTCGACTATCAACGGAAGTTCTTCGGCTTCTTCGATTACCTGGCAATGTTTGACCTAATTCATGTTCAACTTCCCCAGTGAATGGTGCAGGTGTATTATTTCCCTCAATTCTACATTGTCTACGATTAGAACTATTAATGTTACGGATTCTATCAAAATCGTCTTCAGGCCTCTCCCAAAAATGTGTACGGAATTCATTGAAATATTTTGCACCCGTTCGGCTTCTTCGTACTTTTCGATTCCCTGCCATATAATCACATATCAACTAAGTGACATTAATTATTAGTCATAATAGCTAATACGTAAGCAAAAAAGATACGGAAAAATTTCTTACGGTGCCATACTTACATTGTAATCCCGAACAAGATTCATAAACTTTTCTTTACATTGGTGTCCATTAAAGCTCGTATTATGTTCTTGATTAATTCTGGTTGCGATGCTATCCCAAAATCCGATTCGATTCCTTCCAAAATTATGATATTATTCATTTCTATTTCTACGCTCATCGATGAGGATACGTATTTGAGTATCGGCCCATTCAACCAATTTTACGATTTTTGAGGTTCGATAGCGGAGCCCTTTTTTCCTCTTTATCTCTCGGAAAAAAGATATATATATATTTCTGTCTCGCTAACTACTGTATATATCTGGCTTCGAGTGAGAAATCACGAGAAGGCGGGATACAAAGATTTCGCTGTTTTTATAAGTGTCTTAACTGTACTTCGACAGTACTTTAACCATACTTTAACCGCATATCCGTGATTATATTACGATATATTGTATAATTTATTACTTTTCTAACCACACTTCAACATTGTTTCAACCACGCTTTAACCAGTATAAACCCCAAAATTCCAATTAATTGACTATGGGTGATCTTGGTAGAGCTTCATGATTCAATTGTGATTCCAGCCAATCGATGACTGTCGTGTATATGCCCCTTACTGATTCTTTCTTTTTTCCACTAAAGTATACGCTATTCGGCTCTAGGAATTTTATTTCTAACGGATCGTTGATTGTGTAATCCGTGTTACCTAGATTGCATATTCGATCACCCGTTACGTTATTCGTGAAATTTTTTTTTGTTTTTCTTTTGCAAAAAGTACTACAGTATATAAGCCGTAAACATGTCTATCACTTTATTTTGTCTCGTCAAAGGAGATACAGCAGCGAACGCTTTCGAGATCCATATAGAGGTGGACAAGTCCATTGGCTACCTCAAGGACGCTATCAAGGAAAAAAACCAAAATGCCTTCGCTGGTGTTGACGCCAAAGATCTCAAGCTATGGAAGGTGGAAATTCCTGACGTTCGGGAGGATCTCTTAAGCACTCTCACACTCGATGACGAACCTGAACTTCTTGCAACAAAAAAGATTTCATTATATTTCCCTGACCCACCAGCTGAGGAACATATCCATGTCATCGTAAAGTCGCCACGTAAGTGTCTGGTACGGTATGTAATTTTTTGTCATTCACCCTCGTAATGTTCACAACAAGTCTTCATTTCTAGTTCTCAGTCTGGAAGATGCGTTGTCGATTATTCCGCCATCTGTCGAATATCCTCCTGATACTAGTGTATCAGCAAGTACAAGGGATTTATTAGGTATTCAGCCAACAAATGTAAAACGTTGGGATGGATTTTTGGACGAAGTATCTCGGTACAGATTCGATCAACAGCCGAGGTTTGAAAAGCTACAATTTACCAATAGGTTAAAAGTACGCGTTGAATCTAATGTTGGCACCGCTATGGAAGTCAACATTTTTCATGTATTGAACATCCTTATGGGTCAATATTACGAATTTTCGAAGCAGAAGCCTTCTGACTTTAGGCAAGATGATCCCAACATTGGTGTTTTTATACCAGATTACACTTGCCGAACGGTGGCCTCGGAGAGAACAATAATAGCATTAGAAATCAAGAGAAACATTGTTTTAGAGGAATTGATCAATGATCAGGAGTTGTCATTGGAAAATAGAAGTGTAGAAAAAGCAATTAGGCAAATTTTTAACTATATGGCATCATTACAACTTCAATACGGTGTACTTGCTACCTACGATAACCACTGGTTTTTGTATCGACCAAAGGATAATCCATCTGAGCTTCAAATTTCATATCATCTTCCACTTCAGTCGGAATCTCCATCGGTACTTAAGTCTTATGCGTATCTGGCTCGTCTCGCAGAGGGTGACCCTAAATCTCCTCATCCTAACATAATTTCTCAAGTGGTTAGCCAAGAGTTACAACAATCTATTACAGGCCAGGGAGCTAGAATCAATAGTCGTTATAATCTTCGGAATCTTTCATCGGAATCAAGTAATATACCATCATCTAGTATACATGAGGTAATGAAACTGGAAGAGCAGAATTTTAACTATTCGGATTTTAAGATTGAGGGTTTGTTAGGCTACGGACAAACTGGAGGGACGTACCGATGCAAATTCTGTGGAGAGACGACCGCTTTGAAGGTTATAGATCTATATAAAAATGCTAATTTTCTGAATAAAATGCTAAAAGAAATTGAAATCTACGGAGATCTTACTGAGATTCAGGGGAGATACATTCCAAAATTGGTGTGTTATGGCTATTATGAAAGTAGGATGGGCTACGTTATGGGTATGACTATTGTTGGTACAATATTATGTCACCACAAGATATCAAGACAGCAAAAGGATATGGCCCTTAAAGCGTTGGGGGAAATTCACGCTCGTAATATTATTCACAATGACATCAGAAAAGAGAACATCTTGGTTGGAAATAACGGTGATATGTATCTGATTGACTTTGGAATGGCAAGCAAAGTTGATCCGAAGGAAAAAGGGAACCTTTTTGACCAAGAGACATTAGAATTATCTAATCTGCTAGATCGTTATACCGTGTAAGAATTTCCTGTATTATATAGAAATTAATTGTATCTTGAATTTTTGTCGTTTATAAACATATGTTTTAATGCTTTGTACTAATTTCGCCCGATAATTTTAGACATTTTGCAAGAAATGTGGACGAGAAGATATCCCCCTTTATAACGGATACACTTTCAGTCCAGAAAGATTTATCAAAAAAGAACTTTGAGATCCTCTCCCTTAAGTCTAAAATGGCTACAGTAGAGCAAGATTTGGATTTGAATATTAGTGAATTGGAGTGATTAGACGCTTTACGCCCTGCTTCGCGGAAATCAGAAGCTGTATTAGAACATGTGATTACTGGAGATGGCGAAAAAAATATACATGCCCAGGAATAAAATTTTGATAAAAATTTTAATCTTAGTCAATATCTTATCTGGAAAAAATATGAATCAAATAGAAAATACGTAATTATATACCGACTTGCATTAACGAAAAAAGTATTTCTATGCCCGAATCTCCAAAGATCGACTCACAAAATGAGGATGCTATTGATGTAGTTAGCTCTGTACTTGAATCTTTAAATACCGATATTAAATTAATAGAAAATGATATACTATCCTATTTATCTCCATAGGGCACGCATATAAGCTCTGATATATCAAAAACCATGAACACTGTTCATGATCAGGAGCCAAAGAAGCAGAGCTTCAAGTTTTCAACTTATATGCCCAAGAGTATGACCCTGTATCTTGTACAACGGGAAAATAATATTCCGATAGAAGGGATAGGGATGAATCCTGTGATAGCAAGTTGTTTAATGTCACCACTATTGGTATATGTATCACTTGCCTTATAACTATTACCGTTATGTGGTTTGTGATATTTAGGCGTGAATTGAGTGTCGGCAAAAACTGTTCCTTCGGAAATGTTCACTTTTTTTTCCAAGAGATTTTCATTAAAAATGTTAATTGTTTTTACTAATAAGAATTGATTGGCGTTCCAAAAAACATACCAAAAGGTTTTCATTAATTCTGGTAATGATTTTTACCAAGAAATTTCAACAATCCAAGTTCGCCCAAAATAATATGATAAAAGTGATCGATTACAGAATGGGTCAGATAGGTGTCATTAACAAGTGTCTATCATTTTTTTTCAGAATCAAAAAAATTTCAATATATTAATATACTATTGGTATATATATATTAAGCGTATATTATAAATATATATATGGATATATTCTAGTATTGAAGACATTAAAAAATAAGTATTAATAAACATGCAATCTGAGATCAACTCATTGAGACAACAAATGACTGATATACAATTGGAAATCGATTTATTGAAAGAGCAATAAATAAACTTGAGGTTGAAAATACAAATTTTAAAAATATGCTTGAAATTGAAAAGCAAAATGTGATACCAAACGATAATATAATTGTTAATGCAAATAAACAGTTATCTCTAATTTATTCCAGCCACATTCAATTTATAATTTATTATATCTCATTAAAGTCTAATAATAATATTAATAAATTTGGAAAAATTAGTCATACTGCTTTATATCAAAAGTATCTTACTTGATATGAAACTAATGATAAAAAATCATTATTAACAGAAATCTAAGAAAAAGAATTATTCAAATTGATATCAAACAAATTCAGATGCAAATAAACAATAGGAAAAAAATTGACAATGTCTTTTAATTGGCCTGAAATTATAAACTATATATATGAATTATTTGATAATACAAATTGATACTATGTATATAATGGTTAACTAATGCAGTTAAATAATATCATATTATTTTTATTTTGTTTTTCTAATAATATATAAACTATAATTAGTTATTAACTATACTATAAGACTTTAATAATAATATTTTTTGTAATTACATGGTAAACTTTATAAATTTTGACAGAAAATCTTTATAATATAGGTTAGATAATATAATTTTTTATATCATATATTTAATCAAAGTATCATTAATTTTAAAAGGCAGTTACATGCTATTATAAATTGTTAGATAGTTTATTTTATAGTACAATAGTCTATAAGTCATAATAATATAACTTTATAATATAATAGTTCTAATAAATAGTGATAGTAATAGTGATATAAATGAATTAAAAAGATATAAAAAAAAAAGAGATGATAAATTTTTTAACAAGAAAAAAATTCAAGAAATAAGTAAAAATAAACAAAGATATTGTAGTTATATATAGTATATTAAACTGTTAATTAAAATAATAATATAATTAATATATTAAATAAAGAAATTACTAATTAATTTACTTTTTTTAAAATAATATTATAATAAAAAACTTATTTTACAAGTAATTAAAATATTATAACTTGACAATAAATAAATAATGTTAAAAAAATTTCAAGTTTTAACTAATTCAAATTCAGCTTTAAGTAAATAAAAATAACAATAATTTATTTTGATATTATATAAATTTAATTTAGTATTAACAATAAACTTATTAAAATAATATTAAATATATATAATATATTGGATAATATTTGTACTTTTTTTATATAACTATTTTTAATTATATACTAATAATAAAAAACAAGATAAAAATAATATTATCTTATAGCAAAAATAAACTAAAAATATTAAACTGATATATTATTATTATTATTATTATTAAAATAATTAACAAATAATTTTAACTTTATACAAAATAAAAAAAAAATTTTTTAAATAAATATACAATGATGTATAATTTTATTAATACATAATATCTAAACAGATATTAAGTATTTTTTATATATGAAGTACATGTTAATAATTGTTACTATCTGATATCTTTATATATATAGAATTAATATTGTCTAATAACTATTTCTAATATCAATTTACTTATCCATCTTAAGTAACCTAACTATATATACTTATATTATAAAGGTAAGTCTATATATTCAATAAAGCTTTATATACAAGAATAAAAATCCCATTATTAGTTTTAAACTACTTTCCTATAGATATAAACTGCAACTACAACTGTTATAAAAGAAGGCTTATATAGAATATTATTATAATAATTGATCTCAGTTATTCTAGTTATCTATTATTACTAATTCTCAAGATATGCTACTAACAATATATAGCACTACCATTTTTTTTTTTAAGTAGGTAAACATTATCTCTTTATTATCGTAAAAATTTTAAATAATTTTACATTTAGAAAGTGA